ATGCCTAAAACTGAAGGAACAGCTTCAAAGTGGGCTTGAGCCTTGGCATGTCTTGATATAAAAATTAAGTGTTATTTTATGAATAATGCTGCTACTCCCACCATCAGCACCAGCCTTGCCTCCTATTATGCAGGAGAACATTTTTTGACTTGGCATGATAAATCCTGCTAAAATGGGTGGGGTTGGGGGAAGCATTCTCTTCTTTGGATAATTGCACAACTATAATAATGATGAAAGAAAGAAAGAAGCTGTGCTGTTCTTATTTCACTCTTTATTTCAGGATTAGCTCCATTATTAGCTACCTTATTATGTAGTATCTTAATTAGATAATTGGGTGGCATTATCAGATGAAGTATTTTTGGTTCTGTTGTGCCTTGAGCAGGTATTGCCAAATTAACAAACTATATGCTTGATTTTTTACAAAAGGAAGAAAATTCCTTGTGTATAAGATGGGGAGGGAAGAGGCTGGGACACCAACAGGAAGCAGCAGAAGTCCTTGGTCTCAGCCTCTTCCCTTCCGTGCCCCACCAGAATACTTCTGTGTCTCTCCTCCAAGGCATATTTGCAACCTCAGGGGAACCTTCGCCAGTACTAGGCCTTGGGAAAGCCGTTTCAACCTTTTGGGATGGGGAAAAACAAAAGTTGAGGAACCACCAAATGGTCAGTGCTCAAGGAAAAGAGTACTGCTATCTGTTGGACCCCCAAAGGCCAGATTGGCACTCCAGGAGGGAGGAATTTGGTTTCCCACCCCTGAATTAGCTCCACCACATATTGACTTCATATCACCAGGATCACGGGTGCAATGATCCACTAATCCGGGTAGGAACATGGTGGCTTGTGCAGGAGCAGCCTACATACCAAGTTTCCTTTAAATCTTTCTTCAACATCCATCTTTTCTCTCAAAGTATTTGGCACCACACAGCACTCTTGCAGAATAGCTGGTTAAACTCTTGGCCTCTTCTCTCTTAAAATCAGTCTCTCTAGCAGTCTCTTTCTACAGATCAGCTCTCAGTCCTCCTTCCAGAAAAGTTCTGCATCCCACTAATCCAAACTGTAACAGCAGTCTCTCTCGCCTGATTATACCAGATCTCCGCTGGCATTGGCCAAGGACCTCCCCCACCTCCAACCTCTCTGACCACCCTGGTTTGTCATCCTTGCACCATGTTCATGAATAACTGTATGCAGACGAATGAGTTAATGATAAATACTCCACTAAATCAATTTGGTTGGCTTAGACAGTGAGCCAAGCCACATAACCATGGGGGCAAAGTTCCTTCCATATTCCTAAGAACTTCTGGGAATGATACAGGATGCACCTACAAGGACGTGGAAAATTATTCAGATAATAGTTCTCTAAATATATTTTGAAATCACTTTTGGTTAACCAGAATCAATTTGTCAGCCTTAACATTAGCCAAGGGCACAAGGAGATGGGGGCATGAAACCCTTTAGCATAATTCAGACATCTGTAAGCAATGGCCTTCTGATGTGCTGTGCACACGTTTAGGGATCAGGAGTCAGACACAGGATCATGCCCTCTTTACTTCCCCTTTTGCGCAAATTTCCCGTAGCCCCAGTATTGTGGATCAGCACAACATGTCATCTTTGCCTGCTTAAAGATGCTCCTAAACTTCACTTAAAGAACTGGTTGGGGTTGCTATAGAAACATAGAAACACAGCAAGTCAGAAAGGGCTTCCCGGGCCATCTAGTCTGACCCCTGGCTCCAGCCGGCTCCGCTCACGACATGCCCACCATGTGCATGTCCAGCCTATCCTTGAACACCCACACCAATGGGGCCTCAACTGACCTCCCATGGAAGCCCATTCCACACCCTCGGGGTCCTGACTGTCAGGAAGTGCTTCCTGGCATCCAAACGGAACCTTGGCTCCCTGAGCTTTGCTCCGTTGGAGCGCGTCCTGCCTTCCTCTGCAGGGGAGAACAGGTCTCTGATCCAGTTGCTAAAACTAGGTCAAAGACTCTCCAGCTTCAGCGTCATCCATTGCTGACACCTGCTCTCCAGACTAACCCTCTGGAAATGAAGTGTGTATGTGTAAGACATAGAGGAAAAGAAGAAGCAGCATTGCAACGAAAAGAGCCATGCAAATTCTGCCCACCTTTGGCTCTGCTGCTCCCTTGTCAGCTCTCGCTCTGTCCATCCTCAGCTACTGTATGAGACCTGACCGATTTTTCCCCTGGGACAGCAGCACTTCTAGGCCATGATTATACACTAGGAGCTTTTCCACACAGGCTTACCTATTTCTACCTTTGTCACGGAAGTGATATTCCAGCTCGACACAAAGAGCGTTGTGTTTACTTCTTTTCATTTGTATAACCTCTAGGTGGTGCTGTGCTATTGCAGAATAATGGCGTTACTTAAGTAAGAAAATCCATTTTCCTTCACATTTACCAAAAAAAAAAAAAAAAAAGCAGCTCCTCAATTTTCACTGTTCTAAAAACAGCTGGGAAGTAGCATACTCTTTAAAAAAATAGAAGCAAAACTGGAGAATCAGTCCAACATGAAAAGAACCATGAGTAGGGAATGTCAAGTACACAATAAATGTCTCATGTAGAAAAGCTCTGTGTCTGAGCAGTGCAACCTCTGACTGGAGCATGGGCAATGTGGATACCGGCCTACTTTAAAGAGCTGTTGCAAGGATCAATGAAAAGTGACTTGAGCTCTTGAAATGCAGCGGGGAGGGGGAGAGAGAAGCCTAGAATTCCCTCTGTCAGCAGATCCAGCCCATTATGTGGCATTACTCCGGGACTCTGGGGTTAGAATTTGGCAAGGAGGTTTGAGAACCTGTCCTGATGTTATGTCCATGAATCACGGTTTCTTAATCTTAAAAATAACCATCTTTATTGCAGGGGAATGCATCCTATTTTATCAGTAGCCTATTAGTGCCACCTAGTGTTTTCCATTAAGGCCTTTACACTTCAGTTGCTTAAGAAAAAACGCATTCATTCAGCCTATGTAAATGGGAAGGCTTCTCTCACACACAAGACTTGCATTCAACTTGCTGGTCTTCTGGAACATGGATACATTTACCCTTGGCTTTCTCCATCAATTTGGAGTGATTTAACCATGAACTCTGTCTCTGTTTCCTCCTTCATTCTCAGAAATCTGTTGCTATTGCTGTATAGATTTTTAGCACTTGGAACCAATATGGCTCTGCTTTCTTTTCTTATGATGATTTTGTTTTGGTTTTGATGAAAATGCTGTGAGTTCCAGGCATATCACTGTGCCAGCCCCATTTCCCTCACATATTTCTTGACTATTCACTTTCTGCTAGCCCAAGGGGCACATGATCCTTTAAAGGATAGGCTTACATACTCTTACAGCTGCAAAGTAGTGGACAAGTGAAATAACCCTCCATCTTCACCTTACTGTTGTTCTTGAGAACCACAGCAAAAGAGACATTTATGCAGTGCAGGGTTAATTGCTAGACAATTTGCAAAGACAAGATAATTGCAAAGACAATTTCTTTGACACCAAAGAAAGAGGAAGCCCCCCTTGCCTTAGTTTCTTATGGGTAGCTTATGGATATCCACATTTTTGACAAGCTGAAATTCTATTTTGTTATCAGTTTAAGATGTATTATTATGTATAGTAATTTAGTTAGCAAAAGGCTGTATGTTGGTGTAAACATGCATATAATACAAGTTGTGTTAAACATTTCCAAGTTGTGGCTGCTTCTCATTAATGTTAATGTTATTTTTTATATTTTCTAGAGCTATAATTTCCATTGGATGTGATAAAACTGAATAATAGCTTCCTTTAAAAAACAGATTTATTCATACTTTGCCTTGTTTGTTATATAAAATGAAAAATGTGAACAAGTAAACTTGGAGGGAGAACTTGATTAAACTCCACATTCTTTGAAGTCCCTGGAGCAAATAGAAGTTGCTACTCTGTTGACGTATTTGATTGTTTTGGTCCAAGATGCCTGAGGTGGAGTGTTTAGAGTGTAGGACTGGGCTTTGGCCTGCTGTGGCTGTTTATATCTTAAAAATAGTTGGGTTTTTAGGACCGTGCCTTGAGGGAAAGGGAACTTTAATTCTTTGATTCCCACCATAGTCCCTCTCCACTTCTGCTGTTCGCAATGTGAAGCCCCTCCCAGCCCATGCCATAGATCCAGCTCAGTCTCAGTACCTCCTACTTGTTCACAACATTCAGTGAATGTGAAAAACATTTAAGCAGGAAGGAGATTCAAGTTCAGAACCATATTTAGCCATGAAGCTCACCAGGTGACCTTGAACCAGTGGCAGGCAGGGTTCAAAAGGCAGACAACCCGTACGTCAAGGCTGAGTATGGTATCGGCATGTGTTGTGGAACCGGGTCGTTATGTTGTGCAAATCCAGCTATGCTAACAAACCATGATTTGTTGATTGGTTGCAATGTAGATGAAAATAGCTGATATCACAGGCTTTTATCAGCTTCCCCAATGTGCAGTCCTTCAAATGATTTTAACTCCTCTCCCAACATGCTTGGCCAGTGGCCAAATGATCTAGAGCTGACTTGGAGTTGCAGTACAGAACATCTGTGGGGCACCAGGTTAGGTAATACGGGCTATGTGAACCTTCAGGGTCAAATAGAACTGGAGAACATCTAAAATAACCAAAAGGATGAAAATGACAAAGTCTCCAGTTATTAAAAATATAGTTTTATTCTTTGAAGTACCCCAGTGTGTGTTGGCTATACCCTATACTATGCTTTTTTTCAGGGGTTAACATATCTTTTAAAAATGCCAACAGAGATCTTTGGAAAGTTTGTCTCCACGATGAGGCTGAGATGTTAAGAGGCTCAGGTTTCTGGGTTAAAAATCCACAAACAAGATGAAAGGTAGAAAGCAAAGCAGTAAGGACAGCCTCTTTGTGATTAAAGTTAGATGCTTGAGTGGGTTCAACTCAGATCAGTTCTGCTTCTAAATTAATTTTTACAGCTTCTGTTTCCTCCTGTACCTTAGAAGTGCTTCATGTTTCTTCTTTTCCTTTTGCTTAGTTTGCAGTACTCCCCCTGTTAATATGAAGGTGAAGCAAGTGAACAGAACTGCCTTGCTGGTGACCTGGAATCAACCTGAAATTATCTATCACCCTCCCATTATGAACTATATGATTTCCTACAGCTGGACTAAAAATGAAGATGAAAAGGAGAAGACCTTCACTAAGGACAGTGACAAGGACCTGGTAAAACTACAGCATCAGAAATTGCCATTAATGTTAAGATAGCCTTATTCTGTCTTTCCTCAGTGGAAGGTAGGGATATGAAGTATTTGGGGCTTAAGCTAAATTTTATTATTTCCACTTAATTCCGTTTAAAACATGGATGGTGTTAGATGGGGTCTACATGCCATTCCACAACATCAAAAGATCTGAATCTGATTGTTTGCATGAATATAGAAGAATTGGCCAAGCAGACATCTCTCCTTTTAATGCAGTAAAAATTCATCTGCTTGGGGGCCAAATTAATTCGATGAGGTAGAGCTTTTGCTGCCAGCCTACACGTCTAATCTTGAAAACCTCTCTAAAAGGAACTGATGGTTCCTACTGTGAATAGGATTTTAATGCTATTCAGGGACTCTTTGCATGTTAGTACACTGCTTATTTGTAGGACTTGGCCTTCAGACAATTGTCTGTCCGGTAGCATATATGTCTGCGCAATGAAGAGGTGGGTTAGATTTTGCAAGAAGCATAAGTATAAGTAAAGGCAGTTTGTATGCTCATTGGAATATCAATCCAGAGGCAAGTGACAACTATACAAGTCTTTAAAATTCCATGTGTATAGAATGAAAGTGCCATCTTCCATTTTGAAAGGCTCAGTTTATTGTTAATCAAAGCAAGCTTCTGGAATAATGAAATCAGTAATTGTATATGCACATAAAAATGCAGCCGCAATGAGTGAATTTTCTAATGACAGTTATCTTTTCTCCTTCTTTGCAAATACACACTCCTTGGGTACCATTCAATCAGTTATAGAATAATATGTCTCTTATTCTTCTTTAGATTGAGGTTCTTTTGCTTAATTTCCATTTATATTTTCAATTTCCCCCCATTAGAAGTTGTTATCTGGGTCACACAAGGGAGTGATGTGCTTCATGAAATCAGAAAGCAATCTTTTGAAAGGTGCCCAAGGTTAGGGCTGCATTATAATCGCAAACTTGTCATCATTCCTAACTCTTAAGGGAGGTTTTTTCTCCTTTTAATTAGAATAAGAATAGGGTACATTAATCAAGATAAAATATCTAGTTGCAAACATAGGGTACAGTTCTCCAGGAAAGAATGTTGTACAATTTCATTCATTTTTGTTGGTTTAGGATTGATTGCTTGGCTCCCAGCCTAGGGAGGTCATGGGCTCTCCCACACTAGAGGCATTCAGAAGGCAAGTGGGCAGCCATCTGAGAGGGATGGTTCCACTTGGAGTCTTGCACTGGGCAGGGGATTGGACCTGGTGGCCTCCTGACCCCTTCCAACTCTATTATCTTACGATTCTGTATTACAAATCCTATAATAATTGGCTGTTAGAAGTTATGGGTCCCAGCCAACTGCACTAGTCTGGGGACAAGAGAACGCCAGCCCAAATGGACACTTGTTGTTTCTGTGCTTAAAGCAGCTACTTCATGCGTATGTCATCTCCTGCATGTTCTGCATTTTCCTCTAGCCATTGCTCCCTCACCTAGAAGGAAAAGTGAATTGGACCTTTTCTGCCCAATTGGGGGCTCTAAGAAGTTATAGAAGAACAGTTCTTATAATCCAGAAATACAAGTGACTGGACCTGTTTATTTCTAGTCCAAGCCACTTTAGCCTGTGTTCATTCATAAATCTATTCCCTCCCATTTTTTCTAATCCAGATGAAAGTCACATTTAAATATGTATCTATGTATAGTTTAATGTGATTTCTGGGGGAAAAGCACATTTTGAAATTTATTGTCACAATATAGCCATTTCTCGACACATATGTAGTAGTCTGATAGACTTTTTGAGCCAAGCACTGCTTCACAAAATTCGGGGAGTCTCAAACTCCAAAGGATAACATTAGTCTGGAAAGTAAAGATCAGGTCAGTTTGCGTGAAATTCACATCAGATGAATTCCTCAAACATCCTTGTCTCTAAACACCTAAATGGTAAAGAATAGAACTATTGCTCAGCTGTGCATATTGGTTCTTATAGCAATCTTTAGAGAGGTTTTATAATTCTTCCCAGTGAACAAAATGTTTGCAGTGTCACACGTAGGATAGACTAGATTCCTCCATTTTTGGTACATTAGGCCTTTGCTGTTGGTCTGCACATCCATCTTGCAATGTACACATTGGCCCTTCTGGTTCCATTATGCCACTTAGTCCCTGATACCCATCCACTCTTTCCATCCTAAATGGGATGGTTTAACTTAGTGTCCAGCAATAGCAGGGGCTTGGACCCGATGGCCTTCTGGCCCCTTCCAGCTCTACTATTCTATGATTCTATGAGCCTATTAATCCCTCTTAAAACTTCATGAACCACTAAAATGTCATGTAGGAAGCTGCTTTTCAGAACAGTTGGAAAAAGACATTTTTGTAGACAAAGTAGGAGATCCAATTCTGGAGAATGACAAAGATTTAATTCTGGGACTTACTTGAATTATATCTAAAGATTTGTAGGGCAATGGAAGCTGAACGTCTTCCGTATTCCACAGATATGATTCACTCCTTATTGGAAAGGAAATGCTGGCATGTATTCTTATAGTTCATGTCCCTTCAGGCTGCTTGATGCTTCATCTCAAAGTACCTTCCTTTTGGAAGGGCATACCTGCAGTCAAGCATACTAACAAAGACTGTTGAAAGTCCAGTTAAATCCTTGTAGGATGTAATCAAAGAGGAGATCTCATTTTCGACGTCTCTGGCACCAGCTAATATCCTGGTTTAGAAGACTTGAGTTAGGCATTACAATCATATATGTTAGCTTGTCAGAAATGATTAGTCAACTTGGGAGCAAATACTTGCAAATAATATGTCTCTCAAATAAGGAACTTGTTCATAAAATCGTAGAGTTGGAAGGGGCCATGAAGGCCATTGGGTCCAACACCAAGTTTCATGTTCTTGAGCAAGAACCCAAAACAATAATTTCTGCTGACTAGCATTTTTGCATATTAACTTCAGGAGGTAATGAAAGAGTCCTCAGTTCTTTTACAAGCTGAAAGACTAGTTTTGGGGACACATTCCAATTTTATATTGCCATCCCCCAGATCTACATTTAATCAAGGAAAGCTGTTTGGTTTCTCACCGAAAGAAGTATGGCAATAGCAGCTGTGATCTTAGTGTCTCTGGCTGAAGTACACCTTGGCTGCACACGCACCTGATGGAAACACCAGTGTCAGCATGTTGTAAGCCTCTTGCAACAGCCCCTGGTAGCTTGTAAGTCACACTGCGGCAAGCCTAGTCAGAAGGTCACAGAAGATCCCGTATCCCACGGTGAGGGTGGGCCTCCAGGTTCCTGCGCCATCCTTCAGCTTTTCAGCTGTGTTGTCAGTTCCATTTTTAGAACACACATAAATACAGATTGTTCCCATTAGGGCAGTGAGCAGAGCGGTGGCACCATGCCATCACACATCCCTCCCAGCAACTGGGGATGTGCATGCTAAGCATGAGGCACACTTCCCAGCAGCAGCCCCAGCTTTCCAGACCTGTGCTTAATGGCCGTTCCCTTTTGCCTATGGCAGGAGGAGATTGGGCAGAGGTGGCCGACATCTTTCTTCAGGTCATCTCATTGCCAGTTTCATCTGAGAGCCATTGCTTATTTTACAAGGTAAACATATTATTTGTAATATTCACTCCAGCACAAAGAGTTGCAGAAATCCACTGTGCCCCTTGGCATTATTCCTTCACATAGACTCAAATCCAAGGGGTGAGTTTCTCTCTGCTCAGATAAGGTTGCGCCTGCTATAAGATGCATTCTGAATATTCGTTATGTTTTCAGACTTATCATTCGGTATCGTGTTGTGAGGGATAAAACTGAATAATATCTATTTTTTTTAAACAGAAAGCCATCATTAGCCATGTCTCACCTGACATCCTTTATCTGTTCAGAGTTCAAGCAGTTTGCCGAAATGACATGCGCAGTGATTTTAGCCAGACAATGCTTTTTCAAGGTAAAACCATGTGATTTCCCTGTTCTTTTGTAAAAGAGTGAAAGTGTGTAGACAAAAGGAGTGTGCAAGCTGGCGTGTATTTAGGAACAGTGCTTATATCTACTTAGAATCACATAAGGTTAGTGGAAACCTAATTTGAATGAAGAAAGCTTTGCTAGCATGATCCATGGTATGTCAGTCTCTCGAAACATTTCCTTCCGTGAACCCAAGTCCCAAGCTGGCAAAGGAAAATTGGCCCCAATTTGTGCCAGTTTGGGCCCGCTCACTGCTGCTGCCAACACAACCATTATTATTATGGATAATATTATTTTTGCAAATGGGTATCATCATTATCATCATCATCATCATCATCATCATCATCATCTACTAGTGGTGGACTCCTGCTTGCTTCCCCAGTGAGGTCCACTGGCTGCTGACGTAGTCATCTTTTTGATGCCTGGTTAAAAACTTACTCCCAGGCATCCAATGACATATGGTGGACCTTCTGCGAGGTTTTATAGTGATTCCCCTGTTTTCAGTTGTTTTAATGAGTTGTAACTTTTAACCCTTGTGGGAAGATTTCTTGACTCTTTTTTTTAATCAAGGTGTCTATTAAATTTAAATAAATGATGTTACCATCCCACCTTTCAGGATATTAATCATGTCATCAATCATCTTAAATAATACCACAATCAACAATATATTTTTGAGTAATGTCATCAGAAGCCTTCTGACAGCAGGTCATGGCAGGTACCTCTGTGAAGAAGAAGGGCAGTCCAGCTGGAGCAAGTTCTGAGGAGGTGGCCAACCTGCCAGCCTGCTTGCCGGCCTCTCTTTTCTGGGCCCCTGCCACAGGGCAGATGGTGGTGAAGCATTCACTGACGACCAGAGCGCTATCAGTATATACAGCCTCTTACAGTTTGGCCACTAGGGGAAAGACGTGTTTTCCACACACTCATGTTCCCCTGTCCCATCTTCTCTCTGGTTCTATATTTGTTCCAGTGCATTTGGATGCTCAATCACAGCTTCACTAATAGGTGGATGAATAAATGCTTTCAGTGAGAGCAACCCTTTTTTTTAGATCTGCCTGGTGTTTTCATTCTCCTTGAGGATTCTGAATATTGCAGGTGCCATCTTCTGGCTCTCAGATGCACACCCCGAGAGATGCTCCAGACAGTTGGGGATGGCTTTACGTTATAAATGCAGAAGCAGAAAATGGAGAAGGTCTAATGTAGGCAGTGAAGGAGTTGGGTGTGAACACAAATGCCTTTTGACTTAAACTAATAATTCCCAAAAGGTTTCCTTCTCCAAAAATGGCCACCATATCTAACTGCCTTATTTGGCACAGAGCAGCTTCTGACAGCAAACTCTGGAAGAGCAAACCTTGCAGAATGAATACTTCTGTGGCTAATCCTTTTACGATTCATGTCAGTTGCTTGCTGAATGTAACTGTTGGGTACCGTACCCAATTTATCTAAGTAGTGCTATGGATTTACATCATGTTGTGTGTTTCACTGTTGTTTGAATAGTTAAGCTTTGCCGGCATTCTGGAAGAGGCAGGATGGTTTTCTGTCTCAGGATGTGCAGGACTGCATCCTGAATTTCTTTTAATCTTTGTTTGTACTGCTGGTTTTATTACTTGGTTTTTATTTATGCTTTGAGCATCATTCTGGCCAGTGGAAGGGTGGGCTGCAAATCAAATAAATAAGTAAGAGCAATAAATAAAATAACAAATGGAGCTGTGATATTAAAAATGAGAAAGTGTCCGTCTGCAGAGCAAACCGAAAATCAGCAAGGAAGTCATTGTCATGTACTGCACGTTCCTTGAAACACTGGCCTGGTTCTCATCATCTCTAACTCCTGTCTAATTACATAGTAACATTCATTCACGTTACTTTTGTTTTCACATCTCCTGTATATAAACCATGTTGCAAGGGATTTTGCAGTTATATTTTAAGTAACAGGCAGTTATCAGAGTACAGGGAGATGGCACAGCTAGTCTGGAGGAAGAAGCCCTTGTTTTAAATCATATCAGCACCTCAGGAAGGAGCATTTCTTTCTGGACTCTTTCCTTCTGAGTGTTTTCCTTTCTCGTGCTGCAGGCCTTGCTGCACCGGCACAGGAAAGTTACGTCAGGATAGATGACTTCACTTTTACATTAATTCCACCAACCGTGACTTGCTGCCCCTGCAGAAGGCCAGTCTAGGTCTTCAGCAGTCATTTTATATTTCTATAATTTGTGTTGCATCTGTATAACCACCATCACTAGCTCACTGAGGACAACTGACACCCCTGCAAGTAACATGCTGTTAAGAGGGAGCCAGAGAGAAAAAGTGGAGGGAAGAGAATGCTAATGCTGGCGTAGTTAAGAATTAAAACCAATGGTGGTGACTGCTGTGTCCAGTGTTAGTGGGGCGGTGTAGCAAATCCAGCCTTTGTCCTGAGCTTTAAAGGAGTTACCCACAGTGCTGAAACCGTGGATAGCTCCCTTAAAGCTTAGCGTAAAATCCAGTGTGGATACGCAGTTCTTCTGACAGTGGTGCCATCAGCTTCAATTGAAATCTAGTAGTGGGTATTGCGGGCTTTTAGTAATATAGAATTGTAATGGAAAAATGTGAACTTGTGGAAAGAGACTGGCAAAAACAAAAACAAAATTGTCTAAGCTCCAATTTTCATTCCTAAAAATCAGTTTGTTTGCATTTTCTCCTTCCTCAGGCTGAACAGTTTTTGTGTCCTTTAGTACAATGGCCATAATTTCTGTTCTATATTTCTTTATCTTTGATTCTGAAGTAGAGTTTAGCAAGAGTTTTTTGTTTGCTTGTTGTTTTTGTACTTTTTGATTTGCATAACATTTTTACCCTTGCTCTTTTTCCTTCAGATAACACAACTCGGATTTTTGAGGGGACCAGGATAGTAAAAACAGGAGTGGTAAGTGCGTTAAGTCACTGAAATTAATACCAAAGCATTTACAACATCTTCTCCAGCAGGTGGCAGTATAATGTAGTAAATCTCCAAAGAAAAAAGTCCTAATTGGAATTCAGAGATTCCAGAGATTTTGATGCAGTCTTCTGAAATGTCTTTTGCTGTTGTTTAACTCAAAATGACCTCAGAGAAGCCACATATAATGCTAGGACTATGCTGATATTTTTAAGTGAGTTAAATAATTAGGTTTTGGCAAACATTTGTTAACAAGTTATGTCAGAAGATCATTAACGAAATGTTCCAGCAAACCTGGAGTCTGATGCAATATGTTGAGCAAATATTGTCACCATTTTAATTCTGTTTTCTTAGTTCCTTTTGGATCAACTCCTTTAACTTACACAGTCAAAAGTAAAGCAATGTTGAACATCACTGAGATACCCTAGAAACTGAAAATCCCTACTTGTAGTTAGTGAAACATTAGCTTTAAATAAGAAGATTTGAAGATGTAGATTTGCTGGGGCAGGAATCTCTAAAGAACACTGTGGTTCTTAAAATCTCCCCTTTCTACTATGGAATGAATTACGTGTCCCAAATTCCTTTCTCTCCTGCCGACTTATTTAGCATGGATTACTCAGTAAAGGATGTTGCTGCCTTAATAATCTCAGGGTTGTTCCTGTACTTCATGAGCCCCAGGCGGGTGCTAATCTCTATGCAATGAAGTCAGTGAAGGGAGGAGAACCACCCCATTCCCCTTACTCAGTTGTAGGACCCCTTTCTGTCCAAATTACATATGGTTGCACACATGCCCACACCTGTGTACACTCAAATATGGTGGGAAAAGACTGGTTCAGAAACCTTTCTGTACATGTTTATGCCATTATAAAGGACACTGGATTCATTGTGCATTAATTTACATTAGATACATTAATATTTATTCTAGTTTAAATCAACCCAAAATAAGAATACGATGTTATGGATATCATCCAGTTGACACTAGAGTTTTCTTCCTGCTTTACTACGTATCTCCTAGTATAGAGTATAGCAGAATAATTGAGTCCCTAGTGAGTGCATAGCAACCTGACAGATAATTATAGATTGCCATTTTTGAAATGTTTTTTAAAATGGTTGCAAGCAAGCCAGTAGACAGTGTAAGATGTCATCTAAAAATGCTGGAAATGCCCTGCTGAATCAGACCAAAGTATGGCCTAGTCTTTTATCTAGTTCTGCATCTTGCTTCTCTCAGTGACTAATGGAGAGGCTCTGGGAAGTCCATTAGCAAAGCCTGCAGACAAAAGTTGCCTCTGTTGCTTGGTCCTCCATAACCAGGACAACTTTGATTACTACTAGCCATCGTTAGCCTTAACCTTATTAATCTGTCTTCTTTAAAGCCATCTAAACTAGTCTCCAAAGGATTCCTGATGTTCCCTAAATATTCAGTTTAGTTTAGTATAGTCGTTATCTTAGTCACTGATTTCAAAACAATCAAACTGGATAGCAACCATTTTTGAAAACATTGAAAAATCAAGGTGTTTTAAAGGTGAAAAGACTAAATCTAAACAATAGAAACAGCAGGTGTTACTTAGACATACAGTAAAATTTACTGTTGAAGACTCTACAATAGACTCTTCAAGTTTTACAGTATAATAAAACTATGGAGGAAATACATTTAGAGGTCTAATAAAATAATATTAAACTTAATAAAAGGACCTGTTCCCTTATCATTTCTTTTCCTTTTTATTCTGTGTGCTTTTGTTTTAAATTGCAGGATACCTTGAGTCAGAAAAGCTGCAGTAAATAAATAAATAGTTAAGGACGTGCTGCCACAATCTTAGGTCTATAGTATAATCCATGTAGAAGGGCCATTCACCCAGTGGAGAAGACTAGGATCTGGATATATCAAATTAGTACAGAAACTAATACTTCAGTTCCACAAGTAAAGGTTAGCAACTTCAGTCCCATTTGGGAGAAAACCCTTAATGGCATGATGTCACAATTCATATGCTTTTTAACAAGCTGTGGATCCAGTTACTAAATATAATAAAATTACTCACAAAAGGAAATGTAATAAAACATTGTGAAAACAATGAAAAATAGAGTAAATCCTATGCATTTTTTTATCATATTTGCTAGAATGGAGTAGGAAAAAAATGACAAGCATGGAACACGAATCCACCATAATTACAGCTTAATTAAAAGGGTTTTTCACATTCCACAAAAAAACATAGCTTATCCATCCAGAACTGGTTTTCTAAATGCCATTTATTTCAGTGGGAAATATTTAAGCATCTGCTGCATAACTCTCCTACTGCAACCAATCTGATTTTGAAGAACCTAATCTTGGCTGGAAAGTACCTGCATTATGGCAAGGACGCTAATGCTGGAATCTGTGAAATTCATTGCTGTCAGGTTAAAGTAATATCTATCTATATCTTTTCAGAAGAGTGTTTCAAACATTATATAGCTGTTTTATGTCTTCTGTGTTGTCTGTCTTGTAAATCTGTGTGGTGTTGCTAGCTAGATTTAACTACAATTGTTTAAATATACTTGTCTTATTTAAACAGAATAATGGGCAGAATGGAGTGTTTGGAAGGAAAAGGAAATCAAAAGGAAAAAAAAAGAGCCGAGGTAGCATGTCAGGTACCTCTACTGATGCTCTTTCTGCTGTGTTTTCTTCTCTTGTTCCCCCTGGTGATTTCTTCAAGCCTACAGCTTCTCCTGCACCCTCAGCCGACATGGCTCCCATCAGTTCTGGATCTTCCACTTGGACTTCCTCAGGCCTCCCCTTTTCCTTTGTGTCTATGGCAACTGGAATGGGGCCTTCCTCCAGTGGGAGCCAGGCAACGGTGGCCTCTGTGGTCACCAGCACCTTACTTGCAGGCCTTGGTTTTAGTAGTAGTGGGATTTCTTCTTTTCCTAGCACTGTTTGGCCAACTCGTCTCCCAACATCTGCTTCAACCAATAAGCAGTCGGCACGGCCAGTTGTTGCTACCACTGAGGCATTATCTTCCCCAGGACCAGACAATGATTCTACTCTCACAAAAGACAATGAAGGAGCAGAGGATGGAGAAAAGGATGACAAAAGTGAAAGTGAGGATGGTGAAAGAGAGCATGAGGAGGAGAGAGAAAAGGATTCAGAAAAGAAAGGAAAAAGTGCTGCAACAGAGACTGCTGATGTACAGAATAATGGTGAAACCACACATACCACTCTTGCTCCCAACAGAACTATGGAGGAGGGAGGGAACGAAACTATACCTGATCATGAGCAAAGCCAAAATACTCTCCCTACAGGTAGGACTCCCAGAGGAGAAGGAGTTACAGAAACAGACACTCAGTTCAAAACAGTCTCTTCCACCCAAGTGCCACCAGCATTCACAAATGAACAATATACTCAAGAAATTCCAAGAAGACCAGAGACAGCATCGACAACACCTTTACCAAAAGATAACAGATTTATTACTATTAATCCAGGTGAGTTATTTTTGTGGGGATTTGAGAAGGCAAAGAGTGGTCCAGTCCCTTAAGTGGCTCAACATTTTTCATCCCAGCAAAATATGTTGAGGCTTTCTAGTCATTACACAATTGAGCAAATCCTTTCACAAATAAGCCAGCTTACGAACAGTCAATATGAAGTCTCATATTTTGAAATGCTGATGACGTTAAGCTACTGTAATATTGTATCATAAATTTTAGCCTCATTATGGTTTTATACATTAATTTTCCAGTACGGAGACTAATAACCAGATCAGAAAAACAACATGAATGTCATAAATCCTGACTAGAAAGGAAACTGTGTATGAGAATGCGTGCATGTCATGGCAGTTGTCTGCACCTCTCGAAGAAGCCCCACTTGTCTGTTCCGGAAACACGGGTAGTATCCAATAAGGTTACAGGAGTTGTGCTACAGTAGAGCTAATTGCTAGTTGAGAGAAAGTGTCAGTTTGCAGTATGATGAGTTTTAGCAACAAGCTGCTGCATTTCCCTGGTCCCCCCCCCCCCAAGTATCAGTTTCTGCTAGTGCAAGATGATTAGCACTAGTGCCAAGGCACGACTGGGCACTACCCATTGTCTCAGCTGTTCCCAGGGAATTGCTTAACCACACTGGATGCAGACATATTTCGACTATGTTCTGCTCACATCATTTGGTAAACCTCTGTTAATTGTTCTGCATCCCAGCTTCTTTTCCTTTAGCAAGCTCAAATGGCAATATTTTCAAAGTGAAGATTTTTATAATGACCTGGGTCTATGACTGCACCTACTTTAGTTGCCATATTTGGATTTTACACCTAGACAATTTTTACTCGGAGGACAAGATATCAGCGTTTTGATACTGACCTCTCATGTTGAACGCTTCATTCCCTGTGTGGACAATTCTACTTGTGAGAACCTGAATACATCTGTCATCTATTGGCTCATTTTAAAGCCAGTATCCTGTTTTCAAGGTCACTCATATGTCATCATGTCACTCCAAATAGATGTGAGTTTGGGTACAAGATGTGGCCCAGTGTTTGTTTATTGATCGGGGATCTCATGGGCTTGGTCTGGTCTGATTCTTCTCAATAACTTACTTATGAAGTCTGAGTAACCCTTTTTCTCTGCTACTTTTTCTCTTTTGTCTGATGCCTATTTAACACTGCATTTTTTTGAGCCAGAGCAGTTCCTGTAAAATATATAAGGGTACAATCCTATGGCTTCCCAGCACTTTCAGGGAGGGATTCTGATGGCCAGGGCCCCATCCCACCTCAGTGGCCAGCAGAGAAAGAACCACACCAGCTCCTTCTCTATGCTCCTTGGAGAAAGGAAGAAGGACGTCCTGGGAGCAAGGGAGGAGGAGGCTGGGGCCATCTGCCTACACTGATTCCTGTTAGCACCCCAACCTCCTTCCCTCTCCCTCCCTGTCAATTTTTCTAGGCAACTGAATGTGCCTGTTTCTATAAAATGCACAAAATAAGCACAGGAGCAGCAGAAGTTGCTGCCAGTCTGTCCCTCTCCTGCATTCGGTGCATGTGCATCTTGGGCAGAGATCCTTGAATTCCACCCAAAATTTATCAGGTGTTCTCTTAGCTGTTCCTCTCAGGCACTACTAAACTACAAGCGTGAACCTTTTAGAAGCTGCATCTGATGAAGCACACTCTTGTCCATGTAAGCTTAAGCCATACTAAATCTGCCAGCACTCGTGACGCCACAAGACTTTCCATCACCGTTTTCTTTAAAAGAGTGCATCTACTGTCCACAGTAGGGATGTATGTATGTAGTACAAACACATGTGTAAAAACAAACAAAGGGAAAAGGCCATCTTGTAAAAAGGGTAAGTGGACTTGTGAGTATATAATACAAAGAGTTTTTTGTGGCGTGGCTGGATATAGATTTTTTTAAACCTACAATTCTGTTTTTAAAATCTGTTAGAAGGTAGTAGCCTGCCAAGGAACCATTAGGGTCAATGGGCCACCCATGGTAAGAGGTGCATTCATGGATGGCAGGATAAATGAGTTCTTTCTGTCTGGCTCCTCAAAAGAGGTATAGGAGAGAGGTCATCTCTTCAACTATTCTGCTTGGCTGATGAATCGGAAAAAAGTTGCATCTGGAGTATCCACAGAAGAGGTTTTGGAGCAAATATATTGATTTAAAGATCAATGGTGTAAAAAGACCAGATGGCATTCACTCACAAAAATGAAATACTGACTCTGGTCTAACCTCTTTCTTCTGACATCTTCCCCCATGCCAGGGAATTTCAAAAGGGCTGATAAAATCCAAGTTGTTCACATGTGTACACACAGACAAACTGTGTAATAAACCAGAATCTAAAAAATAGGTTTTGATTCTTCAAGTAACCTAAGGATAACCAGTAATATTCATTGAAGGCAATCCATGAACTGCACACTTCTCCCTAGTGTTAACTACCATATGTGAAGATACATGGGAAAATAGCATAGTCCAACAAGATGGAGTTAATATATTGCCATATATCCCCATGGATTTACGATCAGATCCTATACAGCGCTAGGTTGAGCCCTACAGCAGTTCAGAATGGATGAGGGGAAGAGTTGCATGGATATGTATAGTCCTGCAGAGGGCAGACTGGCTTTCCCGGATACTCTGCATGGTGAACCAGTGCAAATACTGCTATTTTTCTTCCATCCCTTTTCAGAACTTCCACTCTTTCTGTAGAAAAGTCAAACACTATTTTATGGAAATTGCTTGATTTTATTTTTAAAAAATCCATAGAATGGTTTTCCAGTTTTCTGAATAGCATCCACTGTTTAAAGAACAATAAGGTAAAGCCATAAATGAACAGTAAGTTTTAATAATGAATGTTCCCCAAACCCGTAAAATCAAGCAAATGCATGCCAGGAATAAGATAGTCTTACAGCCTTTATAGTCATAAAAGCTTAATGGAGAATAGCCTGAGATTAGCTCCTCCCTGTGTTTAAGGTTGGGTCCTTCCAAAATTTAGGGGCCACAGTGGTACAAGGTCTGGTTCTCACTATCACTCTCCTGGAATGATGGCACCCAAAGCAAGTCTTGGGGTTGACGCCTCTCCTCCCTATGGTGTTTGGGGATTTTTCAGCAGCTTCTCACCCTCCACAACCAATTCTATCTTCTCAAAGCATGCATGCACACATATACTATAGACCAAGTTTCCCCAGTCTGGTTCCTTTCAGATTTGTTGGACTACATGTCTTATCAGCCCCTGCTAGTCTGTATAATATTCACAAGTTCTAGGAGTTTACTCTAAAGCATCTAGGCAGCTCCAGGTTGTAGAAAGCTTATCTCTGGTGTGGTATATAGGATGGAATGAGAAGGTTTCCAGAGGGTTCTCCCACTCTTCCACCTCTCTTACTTCAGGATTTTGTTGCAGATTGCCCTCCTTTTTGGGCTCATGTCTTTGCCTCAGCAGCCATCTTGTCTACCTTGAATAATACTTACACTGTATCTGTTTTGTTCTGTGTATTGCGTTTTTTCCTCATTCTGCTAAGAAAATGTTTAGCCTTTGTAATACTAGTCATACATCTTGTATTACTTGCAAATCTGTTCTTCCAAGCATCCAGTTAAAGTGGTTGGAGAGAATGTGGGCAATTGAGAATGTGAGCAGCTCAGCACTCACTTGAGGCTGCCTCACACAAGAAAGCTGCTGTTGAGAAACTGCCCAACGTGGTCCTTTGCTACGTGCCCCTGTGAGGAACAGTAGACAGTGATGTGGAGACAAACCCCACAGTGGGGACCGATCACACAAAATGATGAGCTGATGACCAGGAATTTGACTGGCCACAGAGAGCCGCCACCATTGCGGAGGATGTTTGAAGAGGCTTCTTTGTGAAAGCTGTGTTGTTTGGAGTCGTCCTGTTATCAATGGATGCTTTGTGCCCACAAAAGCCCAAGTATTTTCTCATATGGACATTGGTACCTTTGTGATAGCGTTCGTGAAATGTTTCCCTTCTGCAACCCACAGTCGATCACTGCCTTACATTCCCTTCTGCTATTAAAGTTCCCACGTTGAGATACATTCCTTCTGTAATGCCAAGCCTGGAGCATTGTCTGCACTAAACTGTTATGGTGTATCCCAGCCAACTTGATGCTTCTTTAATAAAGCTATCAATTCTGTGTTGCCTACACTAAAAACATATCTGAATCAATGTAAGCCCATGCCATGCCGACACATTTTAAATGCTATTTCTCAGAGGAAATGCAAATTTGCCTGCTGCCTTGTAAAAGTAAGAGTTTCCGGAAAATGTTGCAGATCCAAGATCTTGAAGTTTTATCTGTGGTTAAGGCCACTTATCTCTGTGGCCAAGTGGTGTGGTGCAGTGGTGAAGGGAATGATCCCAGGACCCTTAGAAATTGTTGGGCAGTTGGGGACAAAAGATAGTTTAGCTTCCTGGAAGTCTTTTGGATTGAAAAGTAGGGCAAAAATACTACACACACACAAATACGATACATATATATAATTTTAGCAGTAGAAGCAGCAAAATAATGGTTGATTTGCTGCCAAATTTCATAGTGGTACACTGTAACAGCAGCCTGAAAGGCCAAGCCTTTAAAGCCAAATTTGGCCTTTGTAGACCCCTACCATCATTTGCCACGGAAACTCAGTGGCAAACCACTAATTGCTTTACCATTGCTGCCTCTGCTGTATCAGGAAATTTGGCAGGGGGCGCACTTAATGCCACATTTTACCAACTCCATTATATTATGTTAACATAGCTGCATGTCAAGAACTACAGTGTGTTTTCATGCTCTCCGATTATTCGTGACCTTCTTAACACCACTCAAGTTCATATCACCAAGTGACTTTCTATAGTTGATGTGAAAAAAACTAGTGTATTTTCAAGTTTCTGTTAGCAAAAGCTCCACCATATTCTAGGTAGAATTTTTATTCTTCCTAAAATGTGTGAAGATGAAAACCAGCAATGTCTTGTCCGCATTGCCTGTGTTGGAGCCCCCACACCCATCTCCCATATTCACCCTCACGC